TCTCCACAATGGAAGCAATGACCCACACTACCCGTTCCGCTAGGAGCAGGTTTTGCAGGTTGCTACTGCTTGTACCCACCAAGAGGAAGAACATAGGGCTTAGGACCAAAAGAAGCTGCTGGTGGTCTCCAACCACCACCACCTTTGTTAACCATTGCTTGTGAGCCTCTAGGGCGGAACATGCTTTCCACCTTTTGTTTCTGATCACCTTGTTTATTCCTAGAATTTTTATTCTTATTCGAGTTACCAGCATACGGTTGCTAATATTGTTCCATGAGCAAGTGACTAATGACAACTTGCTGCGCTGCCTCCTTACACTCCAAGTACGTCTTTGGCTTAAACTTCAAAATCTCATTACGAGAAAATGAACTTAAACCCTCCAAAAAATAACTCCGAGCATCTTCATCACTCATATTTGCAATCATAATGCACTTCTAAGCAAACGCATTAACGTAATGCATGAGGCCCCCTCGCTGCTTTAACCACCGCAGCTCCGCGCGAAGTCTCAGACCAAGATCATCCGGCAAGTATTCCTTACGGATACGAGACTGCATCTTGGTCCAACTTTTTCAGCACACACCTAGCGCCACCAAGTTTTGGCATGACCGGTGAGAAAGGATTGCACGCATGCAACTTTCGTACGATCATCTAAGTCTGCCATTATGAAATAGTTTTCCATATCATAGACCTAGTCCTCCAAAACTTGATAGTCCCGCATGCCTCTGAAGTTGGGTGGTTTCAGAGGCTTGAACTTTGAAACTCGTGCAACCGAAGGCAGCTGCAGAACTTCATCGTCCTCAGAACTCGAAGAGGAGTCTGGTTGCTTAGGCTTAGCTGGTTTAGCTACCTCAGCTTCTTTCTTCCTCTTCTTGTTCTCCTTCTTCAATTTGTGAATTTCCTTTCACAAATTCTTGATCTCAACTTCCTGAGCTATACGCTACGACGTTGCAGCATTTGGCTCTTCCTCTTTTGATTCGGCCTCGGCCTCTTCCGCAACACCTCTAGCAGGAGTTTCCTCCTCTCGATTCGCCCGTCTAGAGGTTTCAGCGTCATCAGCACGGTTCCTCTTCACCATCCTACTAGCTGCATGCATGCCTCTATTAGTAATTGAACATGCATACAACGTTCTTACTGAATGGTGCAATCCAACTAATCCTACATAAGTCACTTTGGATCTACTAGAAATGTCTCTGTGTATGCAACTTGAGTCACAAAATCCGACAAAAGTTGGATAGGAATCATTGAGACAATTCCTCTGATACCAAATGTAGTGCACCTGAATTTGGAGCCGAACTCCAAGCCCGTTGCACTACGAACGATGGTCCGGTACAATCCCACAAGCACCAGCTCCCCGTATCCAGCACCTGCACGCAAAATGGTGTCAGATGGAGTCTGGCACAATTTTGGCATACCGCTAGCCTAACACGAGGAGAAGGGTACTCCACCGACTAGAGCAGCGTGGAGTTTAAGCTTAGACCCAAGCCGGACGCAGAACAAAAAGCAACATAGCTTAGCAGGAGCCAAACTAATGTCTTCAGTGGTCGGACATGCATTCCAACCACTATCCCTACTATATATTTGGAACCCCCCATATCCCCCCCCCCCTAAGGAACACACGCTTTGGGCTTTCACCCCAAGCCTCCCTTAGTACCAAGAGTTAGTCTCTGGGACAAGCTCAAAACTTATCAAATATGGAATAGTGCTAGATTACGAATTTGGACACGAGATGAACACCATTGTGTTCAGGCCGACCTCTACACTCCATAAATATGCCAAATGAGCAAATCTAGACACTTTCCATAAATAACATTTAGCACCGAAGTGAGACTAACACAAAGGGCATGATAACGAGGGTGTTTGGCAGACACGGTAAACTATCATCCAGCAATATTGAGGGACTAATCTCAATATGCGAGGGTTCTTGCCAAGCCAGTGCAAGACAAAGCAAAAGAGAACTAAGAGCCAGACCGAGAATGCTCAGCTAGAAACACATAGGAGTTCCTACTTTATATCCATCTGACTAAGTACAGATGCTAAGCCCAGTAAACTAACACTTGGACAAAAAGGGCTACCTCCTGCCGTCATGGCAGTAAGGAAAGAGTGCCCATAAGGATTGGCCAACAAGTATCTTTCGATACCCGAAGTCACATTCACGACACTTAAACACAGTCTAATGATTATCAATCCATGCAAAAAAAACATCTTTATGGACTAAAGTTATCAAAAGATGCTATAAAATTGGGTAAAAACTACCCAAAAAAGCTAGTTTACCCAAGAAAACATGAAAGCTAGTGTTGAGTAGTTAGTGGTTTGGATGAAAAGATCTCCTTACACTTGTTTATATAGAGAGGGATCCCAAAAGCTTTACCTTTGGATATCTTAAATTTACATTTGTTTGGATTTAACACATTAGCAATGAGAGAAAACAGCTTCCAAGTGCTCTAGATGCTCTTGAAAGGAATGTATGGCTAAGTAGAGATCATCAATATACACCCACAAAGTTGTGCCAATGCTGTCATAGATGCATATGTCATAAGATATTGGAAAGTTGCTCCAACATTGCAAAAGCCAAAATGAATCATATATAAGCAAAGATCCCCTAAGGAGTACAAAATGATATTTTATCTCTGTCCAGTGGATTCACAATGATTTGGTTATACCCAAAGAAGCCATCCATGAAGAAATAATAAAGGAAACTAGCAAGTTCATTGGTGATCTCAAAGAGATAGATTATATCATGCATGCATCTGCATTGTTAAAGAACTTGATCTTGTGCACAAGATCTTCTATAGAAACACATAGGAGGTAATTGTAGTCCCATGTGAATACATCTTTGAAGCTCTAGAGCAAATCGATAAACTATGTCGCATCCTCCTTGTTGAGAGCACTAGAAATAAACACTAGTTCTTTGTCTCTAGATAAGAAAATCTGTTGGCAACTAGGATCTGGCTTTGTCTCAGTCTCCATCTTGGTTGGGATTTTAGCCAAAAGTGAGGCCACATATTGGGATTCCAAGCTCTTGGCTTCCTGTATAGTTGTGATTGTATCATGTGACAATTAATCAACCCAAAAAATTATCCTTGCAAGGAATGCTGGTGTCTTCAAGATGTTTGTTGACTGCCACAAGTCTCTGAGGCACCCTTGCAAACCTGGTATTCACTATTGAGTTAGCAAGTCACTAACTATAAATCTCCAAAGAATTGGACATGGTAGAGCTTGAGTTCTTTTGTTAATTGCATGGCATTGATCATGGCCAAGTATTCAGTCTCATTCGCAAATGAAGCTGGCAAATGTGTGGAGAGCTTGGAGCCTATTTCTCCTGATCGTTGATGATCCATACACCAATGCTACCTTCTCAATATTGTGGACACTAGGCTCCATCAAAATAAACCACAAACTATGGAGTGGAAACTTCTCCAAATAAAGGAGAAGGATCCACAATGTTATCCTCTACCAAGATCAACTAGATCTCTTAGTCTTTTGCATCCAAAGTTGTAAGACACAATGCTAAGGGAGTTGGTGTTGACACTTGGGCTAGATCTTCATTGCAAAAGCAAAAGGCCATTGGGGGGAGATCTTGCACCATGCCAAGGTCTTAATCTTCCTAAACCAATGCTATGCCCTACTCCAAAAACTGTGTAGCTTCAAAAGGTGGCAGTGATGGCAGGTCTATATGGTCTAGGAACTTAGTTTTGGAGGCCTGGATATCCAAAGGGGAGTAGTCAAAGACACTAGCCACCTCCAAAATCTCCAACTCTTGCAAACTCTTATCATGAAGCAGCTCTGGAAAAATGACTAAGAGATCATCTCCAACTTGAGTCTACACCATGCTTACAACTTTGGGCTGTCGAGAAATATTCTGTCCTCATTAGTTGAGGAGAGTTACAGAGGTTTTGTCATCTGAAATCTTCACGTACAATGTATAGTTCATCAGCCTCACTACCAGAATAGTATAAAACAAACTTATTATATTAACAAGGGAGAAATCAGCATCCTCCAGTTTTTTAGCATGACAAACTAACATCCTTCATTTTTCACAGCAAGATAACGTCCAAAACACATACAACAATCTAAACAGACTGTTAATACATTACTATTTCAAGGTTTGCGTTTTTCTAACCATCTGATGATATGTACATGGTATGTATACACAGAAAAAAAACTCTAAGCATCCGAACCTGAAGAAACCTGAATCAAGCTCAAGCAAAAGGTAAATCATTAAAGACACAAAAACGAAAACAATTAGCAAAACATTGTAGCAGCAATGTTAACATAAAGGGGAGCTGTTTGCTTCTTACATATTTGGATTGATTTGTTGCGTAATTACGTACAATGTACACACTAACAGGCTAGTCTTGACCCCAAACTCCCAGAAAAAATCATGAAGGGCGTTTTTCTTTTTCAAATTCGGATTCACAATGCATGAACATGGCTTTGGCTCGTTCCATATCTCCACATCTGCCATACATCTGGACCGGCTTGTTTGCCAAGTAGCGATTCCTGTAGTGGCTGCTCTGCAAGATGGAGTCGTGGATTGTCCTGCCTCTGCCGAATGCTGGCAAGAAAGGTATGTAGCTTCCTTGTTCAACTTGCTGTATTTGCTGAGGCTGCTCTTCAGGTTCATAAGATTGTGAATGATTTGTTCGAAAGCAGGCCGAAGCACGTCCGCCTAAGAAGGATCTCCATCGTTTTGTAAAATGGCCGAAGTATGTTCGAATCCAGAGTTTTGAATCTTCGACTGCTGAAGGTTCCTCCTACGATCAACCAATTCACCAGCTTGATCAGCAGCATGATCACGATTTTGTAATGCTGAAACTTCCTTCACCAGCTGCTGCTTTGTTTAAAATGCTCTTGAAGAAGAATGAGAGGATATTGAAGAGGGCTGGAAGAAGCCACTCGTTTTCAAAGATGGTTTCCGGTGAATAAACTTACTGTGATAATAAAACAGAATAATTTATTAAGTTCTTTATTTGTAGTTATTTAATAAATGAGTATGCTCCTTTTAAAAATATTACTCAGCATTTTATTAAAATCCAGATCCAAAACAGCGCCGCTGTGTTGGAACGTTACATTGTGCTAATTGTCAGCCAGAGCCTTCCTCCTTTTTAATCCTCATCTCCGAGTTACCTATAAGCTACCACACGGATCAGTGGCTCATTTAAGGACACGACCTGAGGAACAAAGTTTCGAAAGAAATAAAATACTCACATTTATATCATTTTCTTGCCAGTTGACAAAGGGATACTTGTTAACGCTCTCGCCCAACCTTTCTCTAATATTTGCCTGAACAAATTTGAGCAGCAAGTAAACACAAAAAACTTGTTAATACCTCCAATTGTTCCTCTTCCCAGCCAAGAATTGCGTTGCTGCCAAGCGCCCGTAACATTCCTTGATAAAACACATAGGCATCCTTTTCTTCAACAACTTCTGATCCTGTGGGAAACGGGCGACTCTCCTGTACACCAAATTCTGTGAAACAGGGGAAGAAAACGACTTATCAACACACCTGACTTATATAAAGGACTCCAACAGGGGCGACGATTTCGGTGGGTAATCTGATTCCACAAAAGCGTGCTTGAAACTCCATCTCACGCTCCTGGAACAACTGTTCCATGTCTTGAACGGATGTGGAGGCATCCTTGAATGCCTCCTCTTGAAAAGAATCTCCACACCGTCTTCGCAGCTCGGAAACCTTGAAATCTCAAGCTCAGAGTCTGAACACACAAAATAGCAGAAACTCACCTACTTTTCAAATATACTGACTGACTCAGGAGTAACTCTTCCATCCCTCAACCTCACGTAGCCAAACACATCCAAGATAGAGTACCGATATTCTTTTGCAGACCACACCTGAGAAGTTTTAAGCCAATGCAGACTTACAGAGGAAATAAATAAATAAATAAAAATCACACCTTCAAGTACAAGCGGTCAATCGGCAGCCTCTTCTGCAATCTATCCACAAAGAGCCTTGCACCCCCCAAAGAAACTTGATATACATCCTCCGGCTTGAGACTAAAACACAAACGGAGCTGTAGAGATCAGGTTCATGAAACGAACGCTTACCTCCATTTACATTCGGCAATGACACGAGGAACCCAGGTTGCAACACCATCAATGCACCATGCTCCGCCCCTCAATGCAAACATCAGGATGTCCATGACCCATCTCTGCGTGCATCCAGCAAACACTTAATAGTTAGCAGAAGAATCATGCATACAGTTAGCTTACCAGATTCTGTTTTTTGGAGGACGATTCATGCGCTGCATCTTTCTCGACGTATTCGAAGCTCCCGTCAGCCTTCCTTACCTTTTCCATATACTTCGTGGAAGACTCTCGGGCAGCAATCTAAGGCTAGTTCAGTACAATAACAAAGGAAAGAAGTCTTCTTCCTTACTTGTTCACTCGCTGGCATGATGGATTTGATCCCCGTGAAAACGGCAGACATATGGGGCCTGTCTTGCAATTCGCCGTACTTGTCACCGCAGGGCTCCGCTTGGTATGCATCCTTGATCAGCCGCACAGGCTGAATCATCCTTGTGACTGCTCGCTTCATCCACGGTTTGATCGGCTGCTCGAAATCAAACTTGTCATTGGCAGGCATTCTGTGGGTGATCACTCGGATCAGCGGCTGCTGGAAGATGAAAACATCCCGGTCTGCAGAGCAAGGGCTTGCACGAAGAAGCTTGCATGCTTGTTCCGTTGGGGACAACAAGGAAACTGGAGCCCGGGGAGACGGCTCACCGGCAGGTACCCTCGTTGCTGATGTGGCAGACGTCGCACATCCCGTATCTGCGTCACCCGATGCACCGAGAGCCCATCCGTGGTGACCGTCAAGGTGGGCTGTCTTGACGGACGTCAGAGCTTCGACTAACTCGTAGCTTGGCAAGCCGCGCAGCTGCCGCCGTAAAGCCAGTAAAGTAGAGCCTGCTTGCTGTCGCCTTCTCCTCGCTTGCGCTTCGCCGGGCTACCGTTGGCGTGCTCCATCCCTTAGGGCTAAAGATCTCGCCGAGGGTTTTGTGTCGCGCAGTGTATAGTGGAACTTCTCTCTACCTTGACCCATTTTTTGGGAGCTCTTGAGACTCCATTGACGATCCACGACAATGAGGATTGTTTGCGCGCTTGGTTTCTCCACCATCTTCTACTTCTACTGATCACACCTTCCATTCAAGGTTAGTTCCTTTCTCTTTTTTTCTTTTTTTTTCATTCTTCTTTACTCTAGTGGAAGTATTTTGTGCTGTGTGTCTACAGACCAAAGCATGTGTCCGGCGAAAGTTCTTTTGAAGGTCGGCTGAGGATGAGAGTGCCTTTCACTATCTCGGCCACTCGTATCACCCCTTGGACGAACCGAGTCCGCTGGGTTTGACGCTCAAGAAGACCCCATCTTTTCTTGATCTCGTTTCCATGACAATCAGTCAAGGTTGCGGTGAACGATGGGATAGCCAATCGATCGGGTATATTCTAAAACATTTATGACGTCACATTTAGCAAATTTAACCACGTCAGCAATGCATGACATAGATCCATAAAAAATGGTGGCTCAAACAAGCAGGAAACCTTTCGTCCAATAGACCCGTTTGCAATCCGCTTACCTGCGGCCACAAAAAGGAAACAAGAGCCAAAAGAAAACAGCATCCAAACCTTTCTGGGGTTCTACCTCCACTAACTTTATGAATGTTCTCAATAACGCTGGAAAATCCATGAGACAGCAGAACATTCCCATCTCTGATCTTTGTAGAAGCATGTTGACTATCTCCTTTTCTGCCAGAACAATCTTCTCCTGGATGAAAGTGTCCAACGGAGCAATGAGGTTCTGCTTTGCCTCTGAGTCACTGTACGTGACTGGAAGTTTTCTGATTCTAAGCTTAAGAGACCTTATGGCGTTTCACATACTGATGGAGAGCGGTCTGCAAGTGATCAAGAAGGATACTTGACTGCTGATTTGGCTTACCTCAACAAGTCTCATCTTTGATACATCAAGAAAATTCCCAACATCATCCAGTGGCAGATTTTTGTTGAGCTTGTGCAATACAAGAAGACCAATGTAGGTGAAGGCAATGCTGATCAGGAAGGGATTGCCATGATGACTTGTGAAAATTGACAAGCACAAGAAGGGTGCTCCTCTGTTTTTAATCAACTTGGAAACAAGGCATTTCAACAGTGCAAAGGAAAAACTAAGGAGAATTTAACTTGAAGTGTGAGATGTGTTCAAAGTGTGGGCACCTAAGTATGGATAGTCCCATGAAAAAGTAATGTCAAAAGGCAAATTTGAAAGAGTGTGAATCTTCCTCCGGTGTGGCATCACATTTTAAAAGTTAACATCAAGATGATGGTGACAATGAAGTAACCAACAATTTGGATGACTCAAAAAGTAGACTTGGACACCACTAGCTGTGTTCTTTGGCTGGATTTAGCAGTAGTTAATCACTCAGCTTTTGACACTATTGAAACTTTAATAAAATTTTAATAAAACAAATTAAAAAATATTTTTAAAAATAAATTAAAAAAATTAAATAAAAAGAGAAAACATAAAATGTAAACATTAACTATATTTTAGGAATTTTTTATTTTTTATTTTTTCTTTTTTCTTTTTTGGGTTAGTGCATGGACCTGGACCTCATACAGTATAATAATATCAATATTTCTAAATCACACTCATAAGTTTTTCTTAATTTGAAAATAAAACTTATTTATTAAAACTGCATTATTATATGTTTAATTAATCTAAGTCTATGAGTGCATGGAATATGGAAAGGGAATACAGAAAATGTGCATCTCAATTAGCCCAAAAACCCTAGCTTATATACAGGAGCAAATGGTCCGGATTGAAACCAATCCAACGGCTACCAAAATCCCACCAAAATCCCACTACGCTAATATTAGTATACGGCATCGTAGCCATACACTTGGCCCTCACAAGTTGTAATTTATTTTTAAAGGATTTGAAATATTACATATAATTTACTATACATACTTAATAATAATCTACTTTAATATGTAGGCTATCATATTCAAACCAGACTTTACAATAGTGTGGTTGTGTCATGAGACAGTACCATTTTACAAATACAATAAAAATGGCTTCAAAATTATTATCCTTATTATCCAAATTAGAAAATATTAATATGGATTTTGTCTCAGTAGTAAATACCACATTTAGATTTGTATCTGTTGCAATCTTGGTGGTCAATATGTATTAGCACTAAAAAATTCAAAATGTGAATGCATGGAATATGAAAAATGAATATAAGAAATGTATATATCAAGCTTAAAAACCCTAGCTTATATACATGAGTTAGTGGTCCTAATTAAAATCAATTCAATAGCTACTAATATTAATATATGGCATTAATATATGGCATCTTGAATGGATGTGGAGGCATCCTTGAATGCCTCCTCTTGAAAAGAATCTCCACACTGTCTTTGCAGCTTGGAAACCTTGAAATCTCAAGCTCAAAGTCTGAACACACAAAATAGCAGAAATTTACCTGTTTTTCAAATAGACTGAATGACTTAGGAGTAACTCTTCCATCCCTAAACCTCACGTACACATCCAAAACAGAGTACCGATATTTTTTTGCTGACCACACCTGAGAAGTTTTAAGCCAATGCAGACTTACAGAGGAAATAAATAAATAAATAAATAAAAACCACACCTTCAAGTACAAGCAGTCAATCGGCAGCTTCTTCTGCAATCTATCCAGAAAGAGCCTTGCACCCCCCAAAGCAACTTGATATACATCCTCCAGCTTGAGACTAATACACAAACGGAGCTGTAGAGATCAGGTTCATGAAACGAACGCTTACCTCCATTTACATTCAGCAATGACACGAGGAACCCAGGCTGCAACACCATCAATGCACCATGCTCCGCCCCTCAATGCAAACATCAGGATGTCCATGACCCATCTCTGCGTGCATCCAGCAAACACTTATTAGTTAGCAGAAGATTCAGGCATACAGTTAACCTTAACCATATTCTGTTTTTTGGAGGACGATTCGTGTGCTTCGGGCAGCAATCTAAGGCTAGTTCAGTACAATAACAAAGGAATGATGGATTTGATCCCCGTGAAAACGGCAGACATATGGGGCCTGTCTTGCAGTTCGTACTTGTCACCATAGGGCTCCGCTTGGTACGCATCCTTGGTCAGCCGCACAGGCTGAATCATCCTTGTGACTGCTCGCTTCATCCACGGTTTGATCTGCTGCTCGAAATCAAACTTGTCATTGGCAGGCATTTTGTGGGTGATCACTCGGATCAGCGGCTGCTGGAAGATGAAAACATCCCGGTCTGCAGAGCAAGGGCTTGCACGAAGAAGCTTGCATGTTTGTTCCGTTGGGGACAACAAGGAAACTGGAGCCCGGGGAGACGGCTCACCGGCAGGTACCCTCGTTGCTGACGTCGCACATCCCGTATCTGCGTCACCCGATGCACCGAGAGCCCATCCGTGGTGACCGTCAAGGTGGGCTGTCTTGACGGACGTCAGAGCTTCGACGTTTGCAGAATAACTCGTAGCTTTGCAAGCCGCGCAGCTGCCGCCGTAAAGCCAGTAAAGTAGAGCCTGCTTACTGTCGCCTTCTCCTCGCTTGCGCTTGGCTGCGTGCTCCATCCTCAACAAGCAACCTTTAACCTCGTCCTTTAGCTACTCCATTTCTTAAGAATATTCATGATGCTTGGCGGCATGGCACCAATCTTTCCTACAAAACTATGTCCAGCTCCTTAGAGACAGCGAACAATCTTTGGGAGTGTGCTTCTCCAGAAGCTCGACATTGCCAAGCACCTGGCCAAGCTGCGAGTGGACGTGAATCACGATGCAGGATTCCTCGAGACATCGCCCCAGGAGTCGTGGGCAGTGGAGCTCATCGTGGTCGAGACGAAGAAGGCCAAGGTGAAGTGGAGGTGATTTGCAAACTTGCGCGTTGTGTCAAATCCAACATTGATGCTGCTTGGAGAGCCATCTGACAAGCCACGAATGGGGACATCCATATAAAACATATGCTCAACAAAACACCCTCGCAAGTTCTCACTACCACTGTGCCAAATCCTTGGGCTGCCATGACATTCAAATGCTCTTTGGATCACATCGAATTGCAATCCTTTCCTCCACATGTCCAATCCAGAGGTTTTGTGCGAGATTTTCGAGGCTGCAGAGCTACCGCCATTGGGTTTGGAGACACTAGTGATCGGGTGAAATATCTTGCCCATTAAGAAGCATGAGACCTTATGCAATGCAATGCAATTTTGATTTTGTGCTTATCTCTCCTGGACGCCCAGCATGGGCAAACCAGACAAAGGGTGAGCGGACATTGAGGCCATCAACCGCCACTTCTTGATGATGGGATTCGGGCTCTGTAACCGATTCCCATATGGACTGCTATGCATGGACACAGGTCTCAATCCTGACAGACTCCAATTCCTTAACTACCCGTAGAGACACCACAGATCGCTGTGTATGTGCAGCAATTCAAGAACCCCAGTTACTTGCAGACAGTCATAACACAGGCTGGTGGTATGACTCTAGGCGATGGACAAAGAAACTTAACGTCGACCTGGATGCTGCAACTAGTTACCAGTGTCCTTGATAGCTTAGCATTTAAAGGCTGGCTTCATGGTGCAGATTGCAAGACAAAATTCCAATACTATCTCACCAACGTAAACATCACGGGCCTTCAGTCTACAGCCCACTCGGGAAATGCGCTCTGCAAACGCTATCGAGATACCGACTAGAGTGCACAATCTCCATAGCGTGATCGGAGCGTGGTGACGGTCCCCCACCCCCTGGGGAGATTGGCGATGCCCAGTCTGTGAAAGCTCCCGATCGAGGACGTGGAACATGCCATCTTTCGCTGCCCAGGCTACACACGACTGTAGCTGTACTTTCCAGAATTTACCATGTCCTTGCTTACGGAATTCCTCTCCATAGAGTCGACAGGGAACAAATCCTCGCTGACATCAGACTTCCCGTACGTATGCCCCACTGGGTGCCACAGTGACCTAAAAATATCTCTCTCTCTCTCTCTCTCTCTCTCTCTCTCTTGTAAAGCCACACTAATTGCTAATGACAACAACGACGACAGGTTATAGCTTTATCGAATCAGAGGGTTTATGAGGAGGACTGCAAGAATTTCCAACACAGTAGAGCAGTAGAGCTGTCCAACCTGGGTTGTTAGAAAAACTTTTGTAATGGAATTCTTAATTCTTAAATTTGAATTTGAAGCCTAAATTCTCAAGGACATTAGATCTGGGAAACTTTTGCAAAAAATTTGAAGTGGATCATTGCCACTTGCTGTCTGGCAGCAGTTTCAAGGCCACACCTGAGCTCAGAGGGCATTGCATTGTTGATGGGCTTTTAGAGAAGGAGGCAAGAGGAAAAGATTACTTGGCACTAAGGCTTCACAGGCGCAACCGGCAATTGCCGGAGACAACTACAAGCGCTCAGTCCCCATGATGTCTAAAACACATGACACCGTGCTCAACAACAAGCGCCTGGGAGCCATGGCTCGCTCCTAGAATCCAGCAAGGAGCTAAACACCTCTGCCGCAGTCCCATCATTGCAACAACCAATACCATGACACGACCTGGCAACGAAAGGGAGGGACCAGTGAAGAGCTTCCGCGTTGAAGGTCAATTGGCTCCTCTCAGTTGGGCTGAGGGAGGCCAGAATGGGTGGTGCACAGACTCGGACAGCCACAAACCACAAAAGCATCTAAAATGAAGAAGCACATAAAATGGCTGCTCGGGAATCAACAGAAACATGAGGGGAGGAACCATTTAACTAAGAAATATTTATCTCGTCTAAAAAGCAGGAAATTGTTGACGTGCTTTTACTTTAGGTATTTACTAGTTTCCATTCCTTGAGAAGATTCACGATGATGCTTGGCGGCACGGCACCAAGTCTTAGGCAGTCGAGGAGAGCTGGGATCCAGCCTCTAATCAGGAGCTCCGCAGTTGCAAATGGCCGCGCACACTCGACTCGCGAGCAACAATCTCTCCCGCAAAACTATGTACAGATCCTCGACACCACCCTGAGAGATGGCGAGCAATCTCCGGGAGTGTGCTTCTCCATCCAGCAGAAGCTCGACATCGCCGAGCGCCTGGCCAGGCTGCGAGTGGACGTGATCGACGCGGGATTCCCCGCGACATCGCCTCAGGAGTCGCGGGCAGTGGAGCTCATCGCTCGCCAGGTCGGGAGCTACAAACAAGACGAAGATCTGCATCGTGGTCGAGACGAAGAAGGTCAAGGCGAAGAACAACACGTGCCAGTGATTTGCGGACTCGCGCGCTGTGTCAAATCCGACATTGATGCTGCTTGGAGAGCCATCCGATACGCCCACAAGCCGCGAATCCTGGCCTTCATTTCCACCAGCGACATCCACATGAAGCACAAGCTCAACAAATCGCCCTCGCAAGTTCTCGCCACCGCCGCGGAGATGGTGGCCTACGCCAAATCCCTGGGCTGCCACGACATCCAGTTCGGTGCCGAGGATTCTGGGAGGTAATTCCATTCAAATGCTCTTTCGATCACATCGAATTTCAATCCTTTCCTCCACAGATCCGATCCAGAGTTTCTGTGCGAGATTTTCGAGGCCGTGATCGAGGCCGGAGCTACCTCCGTTGGGATTGGAGACACTGTTGGTTACTTGTTTCCATCCGAGATCGCCAGCCTCGTCAATCGAGTGAAACAGGGGACCCGGGGAATCGAGGGAATAACCGTTTCCTGTCATTGCCACAATGATCTTGGCCTCGCCACGTCCAACACGCTCGCGGTAAAAACCAATTTTCCTGAGTTTCCCACGTTTTGTTTGTGACTCCTTTGGGTTTTGGATTGAATTAAAGGCAGCGCTTGCGGGAGCTCGCCAGCTAGAAGTTTCCATGAATGGCATTGGAGAGCGAGCTGGAAACGCGTCACTCGAGGAGGTATGCGTGGGGAACTCTTAGACTTTGATTGATTTGGTCGGTCGACACTCGTGATCGATCGCTTTAGGTGGTGATGGCGATGAAGTGCCGCAGTAGAGATCCACTCTTGCAAGGTCTTTACACGGGGATTGAAACCAAGCACATATATCCAACAAGTCAAGCGGTAAGAGAGCTTGACGAGTTTTCTCCAAGTTTCTTGGAAGGAACTTGTGGCGTCTAAAAGTTGATGAAGATCTCTCCAAGTTTCTTGGAAGAAACTCACTGTGGCTTGGTTTCCATGCTCCAGGTCGCAGACTACGCTGGAATGCTCGTCCAGCCAAACAAAGCCATCGTTGGAGCCAACGCGTTTGTTCACGAAAGTGGAGTCCACCAAGTATGTTTGCAAGATCCATCTCGAAACCTTCTTAGTCTTTACGTGGAAATTGTTTTGGTCAGGATGGTATTCTCAAGAACCGGGCAACTTACGAGATTTTATCACCAAGCGATATCGGACTCGTTCAAACACACGCCGAACACATAGTCCTCGGGAAGCACAGGTTTGTGTTTCTAGAATCTTATACATTGTCATCTTCTTCTTCTTTCGTGTTGTAGTGGCAAGCATGCCCTCAGTGCACGTTTGACAAAGGTACTGGTGTCTCTTTCGGATCACAAAGTAGATGGTTTTGGAATTGTTTCAGCTGGGATATAATCTCGACACGGAAGCGTTAGGCGAGGTTTTCATGAGATTCAAGGCAGTGGCCCACGAGAAGAAGGTGACACTTCTACTATCTTGGCTTGGTTTCCAGATCTTATTCAGTTTTTTCATGGTAGATTGTCACAGACACAGACTTAACAGCACTGGTGGTGGGCGAAAAACTTTAAGCGTCGGACATACAACAAGTTGTGACTATGATTTTTGTTGGAATTCTTAATAATTTGCTGCTAGAAGAATGATAATTTATAATCACTTGCTTAACCGCTTTAACTACCTACTAATTGATAGACAACAATAATATTAGATTTAAATAAGCTCTGTACACAGTAGAAAAATATATACATAGTCAATCCACTGTCATCAGCTCCAGATAGGCAGTGTGCTCTTCGTTAGCTTCACTCCACGCACGTCGCTAGAACTCTGGACGAGATCCTGTGTTGTTAGAACCCAGGAAAAGAGAGCATAGCTAATACCTTCAAGCAAAGCCCGTCCTTTGGGTGGCAAACCGGATAGTCGTGGGGGCAGCAGTGCTGATGATCCGGGCAGCACACGGCCGACTCGACGCCGCAACATCCCCAGAGCAAGCACTTTGGACCGATTGGAAAGCGGCAGCAGCAAGTGGTGCCCGAGGGACACTTGTTGAACTTGTCGCACTGCTGCTCGGGAGCTGGCGATGGTGGCTCCGGCGATGGTGGCCGAGGTTCCGGCTGTGGAGGATTGCCACCAGACTTTACCGGATACGAGGCCAGCGTGTTGATGCTGCACAAGCCTCCGCGCTTGCCAGTGTTCCGCTGCATCTTTACGAAGCCGCCGTCTCCCCAGGTGGCGGCCCACGAGTTCTTGACGATCCAGTAGTCGAGGCCGTCCTCGGTGCCATAGCCGACGATCAGGACTCCGTGGTTGATCTCTTCACCACAATGGCCAGTGAACACTCCCTGCGAAAGAAGGTTATTAGCACTTTCTAGAACTTGACGAACTTTGGAAACTTACCGAGGCATAGTGCTGGAAGTCTTTACTAGCGCCTTCAATCGCCACGCTCACGGGCTGCTTGGCCACAGCAAGCAAGAGAGCCTGCTCGTCACCCTCCGGTATAGCTTTGTAACCATCAATGGCCACCACGCGGGAATTCAACTACACACGAGAAGCAAGTAGGAAGAGATCGAAGGAGGAAAAGCTTTTACCTTCTTCATGTTACAGTGGCTCTCAGAGGCATGGTATGGATAGTCCGTCTCAGTATCAAGTCCACCGTTCTCCACGATGAACTGATATGCGTTCTCCATCAGACCTCCATCGCATCCTTTATCAGCCTTCTTGTCACAGTCGATCAACTCTTGCTCGGATAAGCTCACAAGCTGGCCCGTGACAATCTGGTTGATTCCTTCTATAGCGCCAGTCGTGGCGAAAGCCCAGCATCCCCCTGAAACAATCAAACCAGTCGCGATCAAAACCAAAGCATCAAAAGGAAAGGAATTCCAAAAGGGAAGAAAAAGAGTTGCGTACCACACGAGCCTTGATCTTTGGGTGCCGTGACCGCGCCATGTTGCCTCCAATCCACGCTAGCAGGGAGATCCACATTCTGGAATCCTTCCTCGATATCGCTGTCCCGTGGCATCTTCAACACCGGCGAGTCGATTAAATCCGGCCGCAAGCCGAGGAATCGCTGCCGAAACTCTTCACTCGTGAGATCCGAGAACTGGTTGAGCCCCAGACGATACGAGTGCTTGCCCGCGCGATTGTGCTCCTCGATGTACCTGAAGTTCTCCTTGAAGGTCTCAAAGCGGTGATCGCCGAGGGAGTTGCTTGACGCGCACTCCTTCCCAAATTTCGCGCACCAACTCGCATACTCACCAGAGAGATCGCTGTCGGACGATCCAGCCATCGCCGCCGCGCACATAGCTCCGATGAAAAGGATCAAGGCGGCCGCCATTGCCCGCCCTGGCCCCATCCTCCAAGAAACGGCCATTCACTACAAGAAGAAACCTTAGGTCGACCCTAACTTAAATACCCTGTCGGTGGGAAAAAGACGCATCCCAGCCGTTCGTTTGGACGGCGAGATCGCCACCGCGTCCGCCCGTTGGGAAGGAACGGCGGATGTGGCCCCGGGTTCTATACATGCTTGCCAAGAGCACGTATGGCGTCACAGCCCCGGGATTAAAACCCGCCACCTTCTTCGCGGCGACCTCTCCCAATTCTAGATCGTTGTGACTCAAGCAAGCTCCCAGCAAGCTCGTCCATTCCAAGGAATCGGGAAGAACAGGCATCTTTGCGATGAGATCGCTGGCGTCTCTTAGATACCCTGCGCGGCCGAGGACGTCGACCATGCAGCAGTAGTGGAGCTTTGTGGGTTTCATTTGGAAATCGCTGATCATGGATTGGAAATTTGTCCTAGCAGCGAAAGCTTTGCCGTAATGGCTGGACGAGATCAACACCCAGATGAGTGTGATCTCGTCCAGGTTGTGTATTAACGCCATTGCTCCAAAGAGTTGAGAGGCCTCGGTGATTTGCGCATTTTGTGTATACGCCGCAAGCATCACATTCCAAGATATTGTGTCCCTCTCTGGCATAGAATTGAAGAGTTTTTCTGCTACAGTCAGATTCCCATTCTGGGCATATGCCGAGAGCATCAAAGTCCGCGAGACAAGTGAGTGCTCAGGAATCTTACATGACAAAAAAATAGCATCTTGGAAATGCCCTCTTAGAGTATATCCATGGATCATGGCATTCCAGGTAATAAGATTCCTCTCTGGCATCGAATCGAACAATGCCCGTGCCTCTTCTAAGCAGCCACCCTGCACGTAAGTCGATAGCATCGCGTTTATGGATACCACGTCCCTTCTAGGCATAGAATCAAACATTCGCTTTGCTTCTAGAATATCCCCTTGCTGGGCATATCCAGTCAGCAATGCTGTGGCGAGAATCAAGTCGTCCTGTGCCACATCAGCACGCATGCACTTAGCCTCTTTTACGCTGCCATGCCTCGTGTACGCTCCAAGCATGGAAGTCCACGACACGTAATCTTGACGTGGCATCTCGTCATATAACTTCTTCGTTGCCAGCAAGTCCCCCGCCTGGGCATATACAGTCAGCATCGCTGTCCAAGACACCATATCCCTTTGTGGCATGTCATCGAAGACTTTTCTTGCCTCCGTGGCATCTCCATGCCTCGCATACACGTCCAACATGGCAGTACACGTCACCATGTCCGTCTCAGGCATGCCATCAAACATTTGCTTTGCTTCCTCCAAATGCCCGTGCTGGGCATACACGACCAGCATGGACGTCCACGACAGCAAATCCCTCTCCGGCATGGCGCTAAAAACAGACGTGGCAATTTCCAGCTCACCATTTCGTGCCAACGCTGCCAGAATCGTGTTCCATGTCACCAAGTCCCTCTCTTGAAACTGGGAAAATAGTCTCATCGCTTCGTGCAAATGCCCGTTCCAGGCATATGCTTCGAGCATTGCGTTGAGAGCAAAGAGGTCGTGAACAGGCATGGAATCAAACACTGCCTTGGCCTCTCGCAAATCTCCACTCTTGGCAAGCGCGACGAGCACAATCGTCCAGGTAATCACATTCCGCTGCGGCATTTCATCGATCATCGCTTTGGCCTGGGCGAGATCGCAGTTTGCGTAGAGCGAGAGCATCAAGTTCCATGACACTAGCCACTTCCCGGGCATCCGATCAAAGAGCTCCTTCGCATCCTCCACGCTCCCGGCCCGGACGAATGCCGCCAGCATCGAATTCCAGCAGATGACATCGCGGAGTGGCATCTTCTCAAAGAGATCGCGCGCACGATCTAGATGCCCAGCACGGGCATAGGCAGAGACCATGATGTTCCAGGAGACGAGGCGCCTGGTGGGCATGGAATCGAAGATCTTGGCCGCGTCGAGGAGGCGATTCGCGTGGAAGTAGGCAGTGAGCATGAGATCCCAGGAGAAATCGTCCCTGGCGGCGCCCATCCCTGCGAAGATCTCGTGGGCGTGATCCACACTCCCGCATCGCCCAAACATCTCGATCAGCTTGTTGGCGAGAAAGGAATCGTGGCGTGGAATCGAGATTCTCGAGCGCAGCTCCAGCGCGCGCGGGAGTGTGTTGCAAGATTGAATGAGTCCAAGGCACTCTTTCCTTTCCATACTCTCACCATGATCTAGATTGGATTTGAGGCGTTCCTACTCTCGTCGGTGGTCAAAACCTTGTTGACTACCGAAAAACTCTAATAGAAGATTTGAAAGAAACCATCACTGTCTGTCAATTGGGGGTGATTTTATTTATGACGCTTGTAGATTTTGGAAAGGATGAGCTTCAAGACTTGCTGCGATGGAAAACGAAACGAGAGAGAGAGATTAGAGTTAATCAATGTTTTTTCTTCACCAATTGTATGAAGAGTCATAGCTCTCAATTTCACAATCGAGGAAAAGTTTCTGCAGCACAGAGAAAAAAGACTTTTTTGTAGCCCCGTTTCTAGCCTGGACGAGACCAAGAAGCTCAAACGAGGGGCATTCACTGTCGCATTTGAATACAATCTTGTTATCCATCACAAGGAAAACACTCAAGAATGGAATAGAATCAGTAATTTTGCCATCTCAACTAGAGGATCCCCATGAAGGGAATCTTGCTAACTATCAAGGAGAATTTCTGCTTTTAAGACTGCCTGTACATTGTAAGCTCCATCTTTGATGAGTTTTTAACAAATTGATAGAGCTTAATAGCTTTGTTAAGGTCTTGAGATTGATCTTAAATTTCTACTTAAAACAAAAAAAGATCTGATTACAGAAGTTGTTGGCAGTATCTTGCAAAATGTTATGGGTTATAGAAAAACACTATAGCTCTAGCTTAATAGTTTTTCTTTTAAAATATCCAACACTCCTTTTGTTTGTTTCATTTTTGGTTTGCTTAAGCAAACCTGTAGGAGGACTGAGATGGTAATGAATATATTTAAAATATGCTTGGATATTCTATCATCCAATGGTGGTTATTCATTTAGATTAATTTCATATTTATAATTTATAAACATGTTTATAATTTATAAACTTTTCTAACCACTTTATATCATCATGAGCATACATGGTTTTTGGAGCATGAGCCAAAGAAACTGTGTAATGTATAGTGCATTGGTTAAGCTCTATGTCCATAATGGCAATTGCAAGGGGGCTCTCAAAGTTCCACTGCCAAGGCCCTCAATCCAGGATCTGCCATAAAGCAGAGAATCTGGAGCCAAGACTGGATGGATGAAGTAGCCAGTGACCCACATGAAGGGAAGAATGAAAAATAGGAGAAGCGCTCATAGAGGCCTCCCAGCCTCAATTGTTACAAGCATGAAGCATTGAAACCAGCTCAGGGATTTGAGTAGTGCCCCCTCGAGATCAATCATGATGCTATCGTCATTCCCGGCCGCTGCATTGTCCACTGGCTCCAATGGATTGCTCTTGTCCCTGGGAAGCATCAAGAAAATCATATTTGGACTAGTGAATTGATTGAGAATTGGCTGTTTGAGCTGAGAGCCACAATCCAGGATCAGAAACCCACTATGGTGGTATTGATTGATTGCCCAGAATCAATCAATCAATCAACTTGGAATGCATCTATGGATGGAGCTTAGATCTTCCTCTGTATGGCTCCCTATTATGTGAGTGGGCAGTGGGTAGAAAACAAAGATTAGTGGAGGACAATCTTTCTATTCCTATTCATTCCTCTTTTCTAAAGCGACTGATGGAGGGAGATTGTAGCAGCTGAGGAGCACAATCAGGCTGCTTCTAGCTTCAGCTTGGTCGATGATGAGAAGTATTTGGCAAGGATGTTTACAAATGAGGAGAGTCAGTGCACGAAAAGGTTGAAAAGGTTCAAAAGGTTTGTCACCTGCCGAATTGGTTTATTGTCTACCGTAACCCTAAGTTTGGCAAGTTGATGGATTTTAATTTTTAGCTCAAAGTTTTATTCTTTTATGTTTTCGATTCTTCAAAGTGAAGTCTAGTTATTTTTGGATCTTTTTACTAGTATAAATTAACTAGAGGTAATTCTGTTTAATCAATCACATAGATATGTCAGATTTGGATTGTGCTATGGATATTGTTCAGTCGTCACCAACTAAGGATTTGTCTACAGAATCAAATTCTTATGAAGGTTTGGTTTTTCTCTTTATTCCTTAGTATTTCTTGATTTATTTCTCTTAGGTATGGAACTTATAAAGTTCATCTTACAAAGAACACTCTGCGAAGTGCAAAATACTTAACTTATATAATGGATTATACAGATATGCATGGCTTGCAAACTTTAACTGTATATGGTGATTCATCCATGTGTGCACGATTATATAATAAATTTATGGTTGGTAAATGTTTCTCACTTATAAGGTTTGTAATTTTTTTTAAAAAAAATTAACAAGATTATAATTCTCTCACTACAGATGGGTTGAACGACAGAAAAACCCAGTTTACCACCATGGAACTTCAGAAAAAGTTCTTTATATTACAGATTCTTCTATCATTCAAATTATAGATGATTTTGATGTTAAATTAAGATTATAGCCAACTAGAGGAGCTTCTATATCATCTTTAATGGCTACTAGAGTTTATCCACAAGCTATACATGCTGTTATAATCAACACTAGTGTTTTTCCTAAAATAAAGATTGCTTCTTCTGATAATTCTTTGGACGTAACTATGGTAATGTTTTTTCCTATTTAATTTTCTATTTCTAAGATATTTTCACAGCTCTATATGCATCTGGAGCATGAAGAGCAATATCATCATATTGTAGTAGATTTATATGCTGGATATATGTCAAAGCTTTTATTTTTTTATATTATGAAAAGCATGAGTGCATCAGGTGATTTAGCAACACTTGGAAGTACTTTATTTTTGCCACTAGTTGATTCAAATGAAATTTAGAGGCTCAATGAAGTTTATAAAACACACCGTGGTCTCACTTCTAAAGACAAAGTAATGTAAATTGTTTACATCTACTTTCAACTCTAACTTCC